AACGTGTATCAAGTAAGTACAGATACCCTCTCAGACAAGTCTGGTACCGATCCACCGACCCCGGATGGATGGAAAGCTTCGTGAGCCCTGAGCACCAGGTCGAACCATCGACCATCGGTTGATGGATCATTAATGACGCAGAACACCTCTGACCACTGCACCGCACGTGCTATTAAGCGTGATTATAGGATTTCGAAAACAAAACGAACATCCGCCCATGCTAAAAGTTGTTGCAAAGGCGTTACCAAAAATATTGATGCAACCTAACCTGAGATAAATGCTGTTATGGCGCTCTGATATAATAGAAAGAAGCGCTTGTATTCACATATGCTAATCAAGTGTACAATAGTAAGACAACTATTTCAGTACAGCACAAGTTCCTATTACTTACGTGAATGAACTGGTAGAAGTAGCATGAGCAGAGGTTCCAGTCATCAAAAGGTCATTCGAAATAGGCTTCTCTGGAAGCCGAACATCACCAACACTCGATGGTGGAGGAGGTGGCTGAATCACTGGCGGAGATCCCACCTAAAAACAACGAGTAATAATTCCAAAATAGCAGTTCAATAATTAGCATAACAACAGAAGCAATGTAGCAACAAATATACGCCAAGAATCATCACCTCGAAGAGATCCGCCGACGGAAGGTTAGGCAAAAGTTGATTAGGAGGAGTGTCGAGTCCGAGAAGATCAGTAGAGGGCAAAGATGTCTTAGTACCAGAACTAAAAGTAGGGCCTGGCGGACGAATGGCAGGAATATTCGAAGCACCAGACCGACCAATATCTAGGCAATTAATGGTTATTACATCGGTAAATCTGAAGAAAAACGACATTCTTTAGAACCTTATATGAAGAGAGTACGAGAACTTATAAAGTCGATAGTTCAATTGTTTTTTCCTACTCGATGAAACACACTTCACTTGATAAAAGTCGAAAGAAAAAAAAAAACTCATTCGAGCGAGCAATACCCCACAGAGTCATGTCTGTTTTCGAGAAAATTATAAGCTCCTTTTGTTGAGTGTAATTATTTTATTAGGCCGTTCCATAAGTTTTGGGTGTAAAGCGGCAATTATCAAATTTATTAAGCAGAAGTAATGAACATTACATGATTTTGATTACCATTCAATTACGCATTTTCTTGGCCTGTATTTGCTTTGAGATGGAGCTGTCTTGGGAACAAATTGTTTGCCGCTCAGCAAGAACGGTGCGTAGGGGAAGATGCAAGTGAAGCGAGACCGAAGATTAATGGAAGCTTCCTGCGCCTGGCCCGAGCGCGACTGATCCTACAGATTGTTCTCCTCAACTTCGAACTTCGCAAACCACTTCCTAGCCGTCTTCTCTGCAATCGTATCATCTCCTCAAGCTCCATTAACCAATCTTGCGCGCTTCTTCATTTACATCTTCCCCTAGAAGCCATTCGCATGCGTGCTCCATCTCAAAACAGGTATACTCAAGTTGCACATAAAAAGTATGCAAAAAAATGCGCAATTGAACGGTCTAAAATCATGTGGCTTTCATTACTTCTGGTTAATAAATTTGGTATTCAATTCTCTAGCGCCAAAACTTCTGAAGCAACCTAATAGAATACGCATGCATTGGAACAAATGCATGTCGCAGCAAATGTGCCTCTAAATGACGCCTTAGCAGAAAATATTGCACCCAGGTAGCTTACATTCAACCCCGGCAGCTGTAAAACTACGATCAACTCCATGAAGACTAACTGAAATATGAAAAAAAAGATTTCAGTAATTGTAGACCATTTTCTTTTCACATAAACTGCAAAATAATACCGGCGATATCGGGCCTTGATGTTGGCTGAGGAATGGAACGAGCACTTGCAAAGTCACCAAAATCGTCTTCAGGAGTCGGCTAAAAAAGAAGCGGTTTGACAATAGCGACTATCGATTTGAACCAGTACAATCCAGAAGCATTTTAGACAGAATCAGCAGCTTACATCATCTCTGAATCCTAACTCCGGTGATACCGATCCTCTTCTTGTTTCGTCGGGAAATTGAAAAGAATTGACTTCTTTCGATGAATAATCATCCCTGTAAAATGACTATCAGTTGAAAGTAGTATTGAATTCCATATACTGACTCTAAAAATTACCTGCTACTATCAAATGAGGGTTTATCCCTATAACTGTCACTGTTATCGTCTTTCCAATCATCGTGATAACTGTTTGAATTGCCTGAGAAAAGAAAAGCTTTCCAGAGACTTAGAGGTGCTCTGTACCATTCATTCCACTAGAAGCATTGAGGAGACATACCACTATGAGAGACGGCACGACCCATACGAATGTCCTCTGATGTAAACCCCTGGTATCGATCCTTATTGTCAGATTTCACCTTTTTCCGCTGGGCTCGTAGTTTATCGTCGTCACTAAGAAGGTCCAGAATAGTCTTCACACGATGACGAACTGAATCAAGAGATAAAATTTATTTGAAAAAGGGAGGTTATCGTGTTGTAAACGATGAACGCTAAGTAGCTGCACTCTTCTCAAATCAGAAACACTCTAAAAAAAACACTCTCAAATCAAAAAACACTCTCAAAAAATTCGGTAGATTATCTGGAAAATATACGAAAAATCCTTCTTTCACTCAATTTTCGTGGTAGTGTTATGATGTTTAAATCAAACCTAGAGAAAGCTGAGTGATAAGCAGAGAAATAGACCCCAAGCAGTTGTTGAATCCGAGCCTTTCAGCCTTATAGGGCAGGCGTGCTACCACCACACTAGCGAGTCCACCCACTTCGCAGAAACTCTTCCTTTGATATAACTTTCCGATGTCAATAACTCCGCTGGGTTCTAGCGAAGAAAGGGTGGTAACAAAGCGAGAACCTCGGTGGTTTAGTGGTAACATCCAGCCTAGGTAAGTATGAGATATGAGTTCAATTCCCGCTTGGGGTAGAATGCTCCACATATCATCCAAAACTCAGTGGATTTTAGAAACTATTACTTGAGCCACTGACATTAAGAACACTTTCTTAGACGATATGTCTTCATCATTGATAAATTTGAATATACTACATCGCTGATTAATGAAAGAAAACTCACCATATAAAAACAATGTTGAGCAAAATGGAAAACTTCAAAACTCCAGAGGGAGTTGACCCCGTGCCCTCACAGTCTGCCCCTACCCAAGCTTTGAAGTTTTGCTTACCACTCAACGTAGTTGTATAAATAGTTATAATATCATACTATTGTTAAAAAAGCTATCGAATAGGTAATTCTCGTCGATTGCTCACCATTTAGTCCTTGATCCCTGCCTCGTTCGTCGACGAACTTATACTGCTCCAAAGCTCTAAAGTGTAGGGATGACAGGAGGCGAAAAATTTCATAGAGTTTGACATTCATAACAAATAAGAAGGCAGAATAAAGAAAAGGACAAAACTCTCGACGTTGATCTATTCCTGAGGGATACGCCAAGCATTCGTCTTTGTCTAGCATCGCTTAAGGTGACTGAATGCATATCAAACCTTTACAATGACTCGTGGTGGCCTGCCGATGTGCCAGGTCAGAGTTGGTACCCTCCCAGACATGTCTGGTGCCAATAAGCCCCGATCCCGGAGGGTATTGAACACGCGATCGAACCATTGGACATTGGTTAATCGATCACGTGTATGTCGCAGAGCACCTATAACCACTGCGCCACGCGAGCTTCTAAGAAAACAAAACTAAGCGAATTTAAAGGTGAGAAAAGAAAAGCCACGACTTCATTGTGAAAGAAGAAAAACGATAGGATACTTAGTATCAAACTAGTGAAATACTTAGTGTCGAACTGATCTAATAGGCGAACCTCATTTGAAACATGTGATCGCGGGCATTTCCTATCACCCTCTCACTTCCATGTAAAAGTAGATAATTCAAAAGCATTAGGCTCTGAAACAATTCCCATCGAATACCAGTTAGATCGAACTATTTCAGCCAGAAATTACCTTATAGACTCTTCTCCAAGCCGTCTTATTATCCTCGAGCATTCGTTTCCAAAGTAGATTAGTGACTTGATTAAAACCATCGTACCTATAAATTTAAACTATGAGAATCGACTCAAACTGAGGAGAATCGATCGATAAAACCCGTTCGGAAAAGCAGAAAACGTACTGAAAAGTACAGTTGGCGATTTCTTTCATTTGTGGACCAGTCGGACCCCATGGATCTTCGTTAGTTGCCTCATAGACGATATTCTCCGCTTCCGTATAGTTCATTACCATCGTATGACTGGAGAAAAGAGAAGAAAAAAGATGCAAAAAATAAAGGAAAAAAGGTATTGATAATTACCGGATTACACTTACACAGATTCGCCTAGCTTTTTGATCTGATACGGAATATTATTGCTGATTTGTTTCGTTAGATTTGATATGCCAGAAAGAAGATCCGACATGGTGGTCACCTCCTGGAACACGCACTCAGGATTGATCCATCGATCGATCGATATGGGCAAGTGAATTAGCGATGAGTAGCGCGAAGTGAATCGCAAGCGAGATCTATTAGTAACAAGAGACCAACAAGGTCACGAGACTCTTTCTACTGGTTATGGCAACAGAACGAAACGCGCTACTTGGAAAAAGGGAAAGCCTGGGAGGTCAAAAATGATGAAAAAAGCCGACCGGAACTGGCAGATTTGATCTACGCGGGGTTTGTCGGCAAGATGGAGACGATGGAAGAGCTCATAACGACGCTTGAGCCGTAATATAGAAAGAAAACTCGAAAAATAACAACAGAGGACTTCACGGAAATCCGACTGTCTAGCAAAATGGAACCGAACACAACGACATCAAACAGTGGCAGCCGACAGTGCGCATTTTTCGTTGTATTGTGCGCAAATCACCAAAATGAGCCATACCGTATCCAGAAAATTATGGCTGGATAATATCCTCTCGATGAAATCTTCACCGATTATGCCTATAGTGCTCATGATTTCTAATGTTTGAGTGCATTTTTCGCAGTGGTACGCTGTTTCGAATAAACCCTAAGAGAACTGAGTGGTGAGCAAAAATACGACCCCGGTCAGGGGTCGAACCCGCGTTTCATCTATACCGGAGAGGCGTGCTACCACTACACCACCGAGGCACACTGGCGCCACCACACATTCTTGTTATTTCTGCTCATTACTCAATTCCTTTAGGTTTATGCCCATAATATCTCCATCTTTCGAATTAAGAGATAGGCATGAACTGTGGTTCAATGTATCCCAATTTCGTGTCACAAACTCATCGTTAACCCCTGATGGATTATTTGACGTTTTACTTGTATTTCCAGTTTATCAAATCTAAGCTAAAAAATTACTAGTAACCAAAACAGAAAGTATTAGGACTCCCAGATTCAAGCCAGTGAGAGATTTTTTCAATTATACCGAATCCATAAAATTCTGAACTTCTAAAATCATCGAATGCTCTTTCTACATCGTCCCGGTATTTGAAGTGAATATCAGATTAACACTAAGCATTTCTAGCATAAAAAACGAATGAGATGCGTCAAAAAGCCGTAGTAATTCAGCGGGCAAGAGTTCTGCAGATCACGATGGACTATCCAGAATTTCATGGTTAAGCTTGTTTAGCAGGCACGGTGTCGGGGCGCACCCATTCTCGAAAAGTTGTATCACTCGATTCGTACAGCATCCATTTGTCGAGCTTCATCACTGACAATGTTTTCGCCGTGCATTGAAGCGGTTGAGATGCTCAAATGGAGTTCATTAGCAAGCTCCAGAACAGTGCTAGTCCTGCATTTGCCTCGGCCAAACCCTTCAATTCATTGTCGTCAGTAGCAGATGAGCGTTCGCAATCTTCCTCAACTTCGAGGTCAAATTTACCGCTAGAAAAATTTGCAAACTAATATTGCATTGCCTCTATGCAAACATGATATTGGTTCCATAACTCGTTAATGGTTCGAGCCGTTGGCTCAGCGTACATTGAACTTAACGCTCGTGGAGACAATTTTGTCGAAATTATCGCTTTGACAGCCGAGATTATAACTTGCCTTTACGATTCCGGAGGTTCGACACTTCTTCCGTCTGTTTCGCGTGTTGAAACCGTCACCCTGAAAAAATGCGGTTGAGCAAGAATGTTGTTTCAACTGCACCTCGGACCTTTGTCATCTTCCTTCATCAATCACTGAAAGCTTATTCAGCGTGACTTTTCTAAAAACTGGGAGTAAGTGGCTGGAGCGATTTCATCTCGTTATCGCAGGAACAGCCAGACTGCGTGCACTGAAAGGAATTCTGCTACTACGTGACTTTGCTTTTTCTACCACGACAGAGGTTTCTGTGACAGTGGCAGAGCCTGCGACTATGACCAACCGCGTAGGAATGATCTAAAAGGTTGTATCCGATATCAGTATGTAAGAAACATAATGTGCGGATCAAGGCAGCAAGTGTATGGCATGCCATGAGGACTGTTTGCACCCTGCGCTTACGACATAATATCCCCTGTATCACCTCTCGTCCCGTTATTCGTCGAATGACTCGAGCGGGCACCAGTAACCTTCCATTTATCCCCTATCGAGTGCAAATGTAACCCAGTGGGTCTTAATCACTCTAGAGATTCCTTGAGCATTATATCTTTCTTCTACGCTTTCAGTGGAGAAATCGGGCCATGGGGTCGGTGGTATTCCTGTAGAGCGCTCGATGTCCCGAGGAATTCGGTCGGTAACGGCTGTCGTCCATTGGTGGTCGTTGAAGCTCATCACCTGTCCGTCCCACCTTAATTTTGATATCCCGGCGGTGAAATGATGTCTTTGATCTTCAATCGTTGACGTGGGTCGAAGTTTCAGTTTCTTTCTCTCATTTGCGAGATATCGGACACTCCCAGCATCGACCTTTCGACAAAGATCTAAGCGGCATCTCCGTACTCGTCCTACCCACAGCTGCTGTACCGAAAGCTCTTCCGGGGTTAGGGGAATGAGGCTCATATTCATTGGTGTTTTTAGCATTTCAGTAGCCAACGTACAGCTTGCTACGCTCTAAACATGGGGGCTGGGTACTCACGAGTAGCTTGCTAGTCTCTCTCGAATCCTAACCGCCTCCCATGTACTTCCCAGCAGCTTGATTGCAGGCTTTTGTGCGAATTGACTCGAAGAAATAGAGTTTTATCTAATCGGCGCTGTAGAACCAGAGAGCTCATCCCCTGAATCCACCTGCTTCTCTGGAAAGCACGTTGTCGCTTTTGGTTCGCATTCTATTCCTTCTATCCACTACCTGGGGACGCTCCAAGTGCCCACGCCCCTAACCGGGCGGGAGCCCTCAAAGAGGGAGGTCCGTAGACAAGATCACTAACGCGCTATAATGATCTTTCAAACATCAGAATGGTCTGTCAGAATTCTACAGATCTTTTTGTGGGCTCTTCGGTACAATCTTCACAAAAAGTTTGCGGACTTTCTCAATTTCGGAGACTTGATACAAAAAACCTTCGTGGTTGATGCTATTTGAGGCGTATACGCTACTAAGGTAAAATAAGAGTGCTGTGCAACAACGAGCGTCGGTAGTGCAACGGTTAGCATACGCTCCCGGAAAGAGTGAGATCTGGGTTCGAATCCCGGCTGACGCAAACGTTTTTGCACAGTACTCCACATATTGGGTATACTATAAAGGAACTTGTACAGTAAGAAAAAACAGTGTGACACGGGTCAAATGAAGTGCTGAAGTAATGTGAAAGTACGGATTTGATGCCGGAGTAACTGCTTTTCCGTCCTGTCGATGCGTCAACTATCTGCTGAAATTCAGGTTCAGAATAGAATTCAGTTTCTGGCTGACGAGCTGTGATGTGGTGATAATCGCTACGGCTTCGTCGAAAGCTTTTTCGTAACTTGTCAAAGATTAGATTCGAATCCTAGGCAGATAGCATTCTATGAATACGTCCATGACCCTGATTAGTGTTTGAATGGAAGAACTTTTCGAATTCACGTTTTATGCTTTAGTTGATTTTCTGAAGTTCTACACATACCCCAATACAGTCTTCGTGAACTGCGTTCAAGACTAGCCCATCGAACCCACCCATGTATGTGAAAAGGGACTGCGAGAGTGGTCGGCAGAGCACCCCAGAAACGCTATTTCGAAAAACCTACTTCTACAACCTCAAAAAAGATTTTTTTTTCTGTTGTTTTCGCAATGTTGGCTTGATATAGCAGCAGATTTCAGTCAGGCAACCAACTCTTCGTGTTTTTGACAAACTGATAGTATAAATCAATGTAAATCACAGACTTTAAGCGTCAGAAGTCATTATGCCGTTCAAATATGCATAGTAGTAGTTCTACGGCGGTTTATGAAGTGGGATGCATGGGCGATTCCAAAGTGGTAGATCAAAGGAAGCTGCTTTAGCCATAATTAGCTCATTTTCAGATAATCTCGGAAACGTAGTGATCATTGCATCTCCAACTGCTTATTTCTCGATTCTCACTTTTATTTAATTCACTGGACATTATTTATTTTATCAACACTAGCAAGTGGAATTTCAAACGTAGTTATGAAAGTATAGGAAACGATTATTATTTGAGGCATGGTTTGTGGATTGCTGTTTCGATTAAATGTACTCATGATCAAACAGTTGTTCTCTTATATTTTTCAAATTTTTTGGCAACACTTTCCGTCGTTAGCAATAGAATTTTTTAGTGTCCATTTGAGAGTAATCATTTGTTGCCTTGTGGGAAACGGTCTCTAATTTTTTGTGAGCTTCAAAGTAAAATTCATGACAAATTCGCCCAAAACCCAGCTAATTTTTTTTACTCTTATTTTAATGAAGTAGGAAGAATATGATAATGAAGCACCTGACTGTAGCCATCAAGACCAGTTTTCTTCCTTCTTTGTTCTCATAATTTCCGACTTTAAGTCTGCATTCGCTGGCTCTTCCTGCTTTGGTATTGAAGCTATTAGGAACAGTTTTGCAAGGAAAAGTACGGATTCAATCCATCCCCAAATTATCGCTGAAAACTGCTAAACAGTCATCATCTTTTATTGAAGTAGTTGAAAAAAGCAGAATGAGTTTGAGTTTCGTTTATTCATCTTTTTTTTTTTTGAAGAATGAATTGTTGATCGATCTGATTTTTTGTCTCAGAGATTGACTGCGCTGAAATCAGTACAAAAAGAAGGCTCAAAAACAACGACAAGATCGGTATGTAAAAGATGTAAACTGTACCGAGGATCTTTCTCTTTGAGGGATCACGCCCGGTTAGTCGCAAGGGCACTAGGCGCGTCCTCAGGTGGTGGATAGGGGAAGTAAACGCGAACCAAAAGCGACCGTGTGCTTCCCAGAGAAGTAGGTGAATTCAGGGGACAAGTTCCCTGCTTCTGCAGCGCCGATTCGACAAAACTCTATTTCTACGAGTCAATTCGGCCAAAAGCCTGCAATCAAGCGGCTGTGAAGTTTATGGGAGGCGGTTAGGAGGCGCCTCCAACAACTAAGCTCTTCCCGCTCCTCCGAGAGAGATTGACAAGCCACTCGTGAGTACACAGCCCACGTTTGGAGCCTAGCAAGCTGTACGTTGGGTATCAAAATGCTAAAAACACCAGTAAAATATGAGCCTCTCCTCTGATCCTGAAAGAGCCTCTTATACGGCAGCGGCTTGTAGGACGAGTACGGAGAGGCTGCTTAATTTTTGTCGAAAGGTCGATGCTAGAAGTGTCCCGTATCTCGCAAATGAGAGAAAGAAACTGAAACTTCGACCCACGTCAACGATTGAAGATCAAAGACATCATTTCACCGCCGGGATATCAAAATTAAGGTGGGACGGACAGGTGATGAGCTTCAACGACCACCAATGGACGACAGCCGTTACCGACCGAATTCCTCGGGACATCGAGCGCTCTACAGGAATACCACCGACCCCATGGCCCGATTTCTCCACTGAAAGCGTAGAAGAAAGATATAATGCTCAAGGAATCTCTAGAGTGATTAAGACCCACTGGGTTACATTTGCACTCGATAGGGGATAAATGGAAGGTTACTGGTGCCCGCTCGAGTCATTCGACGAATAACGGGACGAGAGGTGATACAGGGGATATTATGTCGTAAGCGCAGGGTGCAAACAGTCCTCATGGCATGCCATACACTTGCTGCCTTGATCCGCTCTTTATGTTTCTT